TAATATATGTAATATATAAACACAACACACCATACAATGTCGGTACATAATTTGATTAATGCACGTGTATGTTTATTTGACTTTGATAAGGCATAAATAAAAACGACATATAGTAAAAGTGTGTCATAGCTGGACAAGTAAATCGACATTTTTAATCAGTAATATAGTTGTTAGTCGACTACCGAAAAAAACTGACCAAATTAAGTTAAAAGTGTATTAGACGAAATACGCCAACCAATTTGAGTGAAAAGTTACTTTTTAAACGACGAATGATTTAAAAACACGTACAGGGCTACTTATTATAGTTATTACAACAACGCACTTGGTATTTTAATCGTCAATAATTCAAAAGAAAATATATAATTATAAAATTGAAGAATAATATTTTTCGAAATCTTTGTTTGTAGGAAATATTCACTGCATTCAGAATCATTATAACCCGAACCTAACCAACGTTTTTTATAAGTTTTTTGTTTTATAAACTTTCAGAATATTATTATAAGCACGGACTAAGATATAAAGGACTGGACACGACAAGGTTGGAGGGTGTGGGGGGTTGACCACGAAATGTAGTACAACAGGCCGTGTTCGGGGGTATATTTTCCTTTTAGCATTACTAGCGCCGTCTTAGTGGATACTTATGGAACTAGAACACTTCTAACTAGAACATTTCTAGTTCCATAAGTACCCACTAAGACGGCGCTAGTAATGCTAAAAGGAAAATATACCCCCGAACACGGCCTGTTGTACTACATTTCGTGGTCAACTCCCCACACCCTCCAACCTTGTCGTGTCCAGTCCTGTATATCTTGGTCCGTGGTTATAAGGTTGTATCCTGTATAACCAAAAAAAAAAGAATACTAACTATATAGGTACTCTAGAGCTCTAGTCAGTTTAAGACAAGACAAAAAAATATTTTTTTTCTTATTTCCGAGTACTATAGGTAGGTATAGGCACCTTTAGTTTGAACTTTGAAGTCATGCCTACTGACATTTTGACAATAGTTAATGATAATATCTTCAGAGTTTGCCCACTAATTTCATTATAACGATAATTGAATCACCTGCGACATGTGTTAAAATTATTTTGATGTGTATTTAAGTATTTTGTTCTTCTATCATCGCATTAAATCTGCAGCATAAAATGTCATATATTATATATATTAGACAACTAAGCATTTCGTAACTATGTAATTGTATAATGTCGTTTTATTCATTAATACTCGCACATAATTATTAATACAATTTGTCATGTCAACTGAGTGTGAACACGAGCAGCAGAAACTAAAATATGCATAATATAATAGTTAGGTATATAATATAATATATAATATTAATATGTATATACTAATATTACGAATATACTACGTACGTCATGAGTATTCTTTGTAAGCATGTATAGATGTAATCTTTTTTTGTGATGTAACATAGTATTGACGACTTGACTTCTATAAATAGTAGTCCTATAAATTATAGTTTACAAATTATTATCATTAGGTAGCTTAATGTTAAAAATTAATCAAACTATAATTATTTGTATCAATGTGTTGTAAGTCGATTGAATTAAATTCCACTATGGTAGAATAATCGATCGATTCATTTTAAGAGATTACATTCAATTATTATATTTATAAAATGTAATGTGTAACAATAATGAGTACGTGTTCATTATATAATATTAACATGACGTAAATCTAAATATATTATGTCGCAGTTGTTTAGCGAAATCAGGCAATTTGTTAAATATATACAATTATACTATTATCCATATACCAATCATTTAATAGAAATGTAATTATTTCTCTTGCATTTCAAATATAATAAAGATCTAGCCATGGGCAAAATCATTGGACGTTTTATACGAGTGTAATTGAAATAAGGTGTGCAAATGGTGAAAAAATTAATAAAATATTCTAAACTAGACAATTGTATAACTATTATCGAAAATAGTATTTATATAAAAATTTACAATCTGTACAGTAAGCCACAATAAGCAAAATGTAAATATGATACAGAAAAATAGATTATACATAGAGAATAATTAAAATTACATTTTTGAGGCCATGTAAGTGTTAAAATAATTAAACCAATTAAAACCAGATAAATTGACAAAATAAAAAAATATATATTTTCAAGTAAAAATAATATGTTTTACTTTCTAGGCATTTATTTATTGGAACAATTTATTCATTAATATTGATAACATTCATATATCACACTCGAAAAAAAATTATTTTTGAACAAAGACACTTCCCAGTTTCACATTTAAGTTTTTCTGCATGCAGATTGTTGTAGACAATGTCTATTGTATAGCGTCTCTTACGTTATTGTAATGTTAAAATAATTCATATACTTCAATACTTGGATCAAGTTAAATATTTATTTCGTTTAATATCGGCATCTTGAAATAAGGTTACGGTTACCTGGTTACATTTTAACATAATACGCATTCATAAATATGATCCAGAATCGGTACTTGTGAATTTAAAACTTGATACAGAAACTTCGTAGTTTATACATTTACGATATTACATGGATAGACTCAAATTCCGAAATAAATTACAAAACGATGATATTTTGAGAAAATATATATTTTTGTAAATGTTCAATATTATAAATTAAACTACTGCGACACGTAACGTTGGATTACGTTAGAGAAGGTGTGGTCTATACACTTTGAAAGTTCAACATCAGTTTCTACGTCACCTGAAGTTTCAAATCAATCTCTTCCCCTTTGATGTAACAAAACAAAATCATGAGCCATTAAGTTTTTGTTTTTAATATGCCCACCTGAGGATCCAGACAGTTGTCTTTTCGATATGACATTTACCTATAACTATAAATGGCATGATATTGATGATAGTAAGAACTTCGCTCTCCAACAATACATTGACGTCCCTTCGTTTTATTTCGTTCAGGTGCTATTTTTTTTTTCATTTATATAAAACAGCGTCGAACGGATTTTGGCACACGCTCTCCCTTAAATAGAGCTCTTTCTTCGCGGAACAATACTAAATTTGATATTTTTGCAGATAACGTGTCCACAAAAAAAATATATATCCGCCTTGTCTATAATAGTAATTTTTATACTAATTTTGAATATCATTCAGCGCATATTGTTATCATCTCTCCAAACAATTGTTATACATATTTTTTTGTCATGTTCTGTTTTGTACATTTTATTTTACTTTTCTTTTTTCTTTTATATAATATTACATTGATCTTTGCTACGACCTCTTTTGTGATACTTTAAGCTTTCGGGCGTTTATCGACAAATAAATACTTATACGACGCACACAAAATTATAGAACAGTCAGAGTACCTATTTATGTTATAGCACCATACACGCGTTTGTCTTGATATTTTGACTTCAGCCGATGATCGTATTAAATATTTTCATTCTTGTCCCACAATTTCATTACCTACATAATACATTTAATATTATACTCCGAACGATATTGAAGATGCTGTATTCGCAAAATTCGCTTTACAGCAAACGTGCTGCCAAGACTATATACGCATTAAACCCATAGCGAAATATTATCGGAAGAATGTCGATCTATTAAGTTGGGGTGGCGTATATAACCTGAAAATAATAAAATCGATAGAGCACACGGAATTTAAAAAAAAAAAAAAAAAAGATAGAAACGTAACATTGTGTACAGCACTACAACAGTGCCATAACATAGTGTCTGTATAAATTATAATCTAGCGATAACTCTAAGCGATGTAAACTTCAACACCCCATCATAAAGCGTATTTTGCACTTAAACACTGACAAGCGTGCAGTATACATATATCACGTTTTCTGAAACATCTAAATATTGTCGACGACTAGAATTTTTTTTTTCACCCCTCGGCATTTAAGTCGTTCCTGTTCGACTATATATATATAGTCGCATACTTCTGCGCACCAACAATAGTCCACAGCGACAACAGCTGCGGCTGTATAACACGCGAGAACGCAATCGATTTACCGATTAAGTGAACATTACACAAAAGGTATTGCCTTTTAACGATCGTTTGCTAAACGCATTTAATTTTCATTAGTGATGATTGTACGAGTGGGGGGGGGGGGCATGTATGGTTGAAATTCATTTGAACACTTTCGATTTATCTTTTACATGAGTGTAAGCACAACGGTATGATGGAAAAGTGGAAAATACTTTGCAAATGTCCTTAAACGACACATACACACACACAGGTCCATATTTTCAGCGTAGGCGTGAATAAAGTTTGCGTAAGAGAGTTGTTTTCTATTGTAAGCGGAAAAAAGTAGAGAATCCTAATAAGTAAAGATTATCGTTTGATCAAATACAAGATGATAACAAGTTTACAGTTACTTATAAGTGTTTTATATATTATGTATATTTTCATTAATGCAAAGTTGATATATTATACACTTTAAAAAAATGGTTTTTATGAACTAAAATAACATTACAAAGTAATATAGGCATGTAGCCTGTATATGTTTATAAGTGCAGAGATACATATTAATAAATGTCTAAGACATATTATGATTTATGAATATTACTTCTAATTAATAAACATTAATAAAATGAGCAATAAATTAGTGACATGTACCTATATATTATGATCATCGAATAGAAAAATTGCAATGTACTTACGACAACAAATAAAATGATATGCTTAAATTTGTCGTTTAAACGAGTCATGATAGTAAAAAATAGGTATACAACATGCATGTTAAAATGTCGATGTACACTATGCCACATTTAATGTTAAACCATAATCTAGTTTAGAAGATACCTACTCAGTCGTATAATTATACAATACTATCGTATAAAATATATATATATATATATATATATATGTAAATAAATATATTATATTGTTGGCTTACACAAAAAATTAACTACTAACCACTCGCTTCGCAATTTTATAAATGGAGCTTGTAGACAACTAAATACATTAATACAATAATATGTACACACTTAAAATAATAATTTAACAACATTTTCTTAAAAAGTATTATATGATCTAAGTAAGTACTACTGCTTTGTGTACACACGGTCCAGCTTGTCCTTCGAGCAGTGCAGGCCACAGGTAAGTCCGAACTTGATTACTCTCCAAATCTGAAGAATGATATCTCACGTGCAGGTCCCGCTTAAACGATCTCTGTTCGTATTCCAGTACAAAGCTAGGCGTCTGTGTCACAAAAAATAAATAATACAATGATTTAGTATACCTACGGTACACAATAATTTAAATTATGTTTCATATTATTCTGGTATTAGTACTGCAGTGGAGTGCCCAGTGTACACTAGAGTCGTTGATAAATTCAATAATAAACAAAACGTTTTGAAATCTAAATCATAACAAGGCAGGGGAAGTCGTTCTGCTATAATATATAGAATGTGACAAGATGTCAATAGTGTACCTCGTCATTGATAGTAACTCATTTATAATGGATATCTTAGGTTTGATTTCAATGATAAATCCTTGTAGGTATTTACTTTAAAAAAAAACTATTCCGACCGGACGGACCGCCAGCCTATCTACACTCTACAGTATACATATGTCTACAAAAATTTGACATTTTTACTTAGTTGTACAATTTGTAATTAAGGTGCCAACAAAATTAAAAAAAATTGTGAGTATTATGTATTTTTGGTATTTGTTAATAGCTGTAAGTTAAACATATGTGAAGAACTTATTAGGTACCTACCGACTAAATTTTCAAACTTTTTTTACTCACGAACAAAAATGTTATCATATAGCTTATACAATATTTTACAATATTAAAGTTGTAAATTTAAAATCTTCATAATCTTAGTTAATTTATATTGTTTTTAGAATATTATCTTAAATGTAAAATTAACACATTAGTTGTATTTTTTGCAAAATGCTCATACTAATCGAGGCGTCACATCGTTTTTGCGCTTGAGTCGCTGACTAAAATAAAAGTGGTGCGAGTGTGTGACACATCGATTTGTATGAGAACACTACACAATAAACAGTGGTGATAGTTATTTGTTGTCATTTGATAAATATGATTAATTAAAACAGTTATTTACATTGTCAACAAATAACAATGATAAAATAATAACAAAAAAATTAATTAACAGAGTTTCTAAGATCGAATTTATTGCCATACATTTAAGTTGGGGCTATGTATTTTAGGTCTTACGCTACCTAAAAAATACATCATTTTAAATTTGTTAATTTTTAATAAGTATATTCTGTATCTACTTACAAATTTAAATGTTTCTTTTCAGAAATTTTGCAAAAAAAAACAAATACTGTTTATTTTTACATTTAAGATAATATTCGAGTTTACGACTTATGTAGTTAATATAGTTATGTATAAATAAATTCATATTTATTTAAAATTAAGAAAAAATTTTCGTACAAAAAAGTACTGCGGGATGTAAATTTCAACTAATACAAATTATGAATATCAAATTATTCATCAAATCATTATACCTAGGTATCAATCAAAGGGTTAAACCATTACCCACGTGGTTTATCCAGTATACTTTATAAAAAATTAAAATACAATTTAGAAAAATAATACAATACAATTAAACAATTTTCTTTATCGATTATACTTTTATTACCTATTATGTTTTATATATAAATGTCTATATCATAAAATGTAGCTATGTACGAGCAAGTATATAACAATACTCTACATACCCTAGGCCTCTAAACGAATATTTCTGAGTAATAAAATAAATTAACTATCATACTTAATTTGGATTATTGTATTGATAGTATATACCATTAAACAAAACGTCAAGATAATTTTTCAGATATTCATATTTATTAATTATTATCTAAGAACATTATTAAAGTTTAGGTATAGGTACCAACAATTAAATGGTATTTTTTATTAAGGCGGCTCTAAACGATTGAATTTTTCATGCATTTAGACCAATAAGCTGGCGAAAAATACACATACTTCTAGTAGTCCCATTTCAATTTTGAATACTTATTTGGATTCGTTAGCCTCTTTTCTATGATCTGTAGGAAAAACTTTTTCATCTTTTTGTCTAGTTAGCACTTAAAAGTGCAAGTTAAATTTGAGAAATCAAGCAGTCATTTGGAACCGTAATATACGTAAATTATCTAAAATATCCAAAATCGGTTTCCTACAAATCATAGAAAAGAGGCTGACGAATTCAAATAATTTTTCAAAATTGAAATTGGACTACTAGAAGTATGTGTATTTTTCGCCAGCTTATTAGCATTTTTCACTGTTGTGAGTGTACAAAAATATTTTTCGAGAGTGATTACGTTGACTTGTGCATGCGCGTACGTGTGCTATTGAACCATGTGCCCGCAGCCGGGCGATATAAAATCTATTGTTATCGAGTTCGAATTTCTTCGAATTTCACACTAATAATCATTTACGACTAACACATAGATTACGGGAGGGGAGGACAAGATTAGAAATTGCCTAAATTGTTCCCCTTAAATAATAGCCACTAAGAGCCGCCTTAACAGATTGTCGTAACATAATATACGAACGTACAACAATATCAAATATATTTAGAAAAAAATATATTAACTACGTAATACAAGTAGAAAAATGAAAATGAAAAACTCGTAATATCTTACTAATCGACTCATATCCAACACGATGAGTCAATCTAACTACAACGCATTACCAGCACACGTACAAGCACACATGTCATATTATATAATATATTATTCTCACCTGATTTACTAGAGCCCAAGCTAAGCGTACTGCGTCACAAATGTATTGATGTAGTCCAGCGCACGTTTTTAGACACGGATAGTCGTACAATGTCGCCCACAGCTGAGAGCTTACTTCCTGTTGATAAAACGCAAATCACATTAGTATTATAGGCTGTATAAATGTTATTATATTGCTATCAGTAACTGTACTGATATTTTTCAATTTTCGGTATACTAACATTTAAATGCCCCCTCCTATTACTAGTAGTATTACAATATAGTCAAAAATTAATTTATATTATTCTCGATATTTTCAAAAAATTCATGAGTTATCCTGTGGACTAATACCACCGATTCTGATTTTTGAAAATCATTATTGTACCCATCGAGGGCTGTATAGAAATGGCTAAATAAAAATAACACAGAGTACATTAAAAAAAAAATAGATAAATAATCATGCATTCATATGGATTTTTTATGAATTAAAACCTAGGTACTTGTATAAAATATGCAAAATAAAATTACGTTTTGACTTGAATAAAACTTGAATTATATCGCTTATTTTGAAAATTCTGAATGAAATCCGACGATATCAAATGTATTAAATATTAACGTTAATCGTCGAATGCAAAGCCCTATTATGGGTGACTATGACTATTATTGTTTATGTCATTGTGTTAATCGCTCGCGGGTATTACAATATCAATCTGATTTGAACCGCAGCGGGGGACGTGATAAACGCAACTATTTTGCGAAACATTTACCTCGATGCACTGGGTTAAATCGAAAGTGTCCACCGTCCTCCTCAAATAGGAGCAGATGGAAGCCTCCAATTCGACGTGTGCCGAACCGGACGGCGTCGGATAGAACAGCAGCCGTTTCACCTGTTCTTTTTTCAGGCTCAACATGGCCTGGGTCGACCTGAACGCCAACTGAAAAAAATAATTAATTAATATTCGCAAAAACCGACGTCGTCGTGTAAGTCGGCACGGGACGTGACATTTTGTCTGGAGAATATACTCACGACGACAACGGAGAAGAGGATTTTCGATTTCAGTTCGGTGGCGTCGGCGAGCTGAGGCAACACGTCTAGTTTCTCGAGAGCCTCGACTCGGGCTTGCGAATACAGGTTACCGTAGCATCTGACCAATCTCGGTCCACTCAACTCCCTGAGAAATTAAACAACAATAATAATTACAACAATGATGACGATGATAATCTTCATTTACATTTCCGTTGACCGTGATATTATTACTATAGGCAGGTACGTCGCGAACTTTAAATTATATTATTATGTAATTAATCGCCGTTTTGGTTTTTTTCTATATTATATTATAATGCACGCTAATCTCGCACATTCGGTTTAATGATCTCGTTCACGATAAATATAATATTGTTAAACGAGCGGATTAATTTATCATGTTTGGATTAGACAAAACAACGATATTTTAAAACGACAATAAGAGTTCGGATCATTAAATCGTACGGTTTTATGTTAAATCTTTCAGTGTCCTCGATTTGAATTGATATCGATTGCTATATAAACGCTTCAATAAATGGATTGAATCAAAAACAACGAGGTATAGGTATGTCATATTTGTTGAAATTTTAATTCATATTATTCACTTTTAGATGTTTATTATTTGGTACATGGCTGTGCATATATCTACCCTACGTGCATTGAATGTTTTAATTCCCAAAGTGACAGTTATTATTAAACTTGTAATCCGCTGAGAAAAATGTATTTATAATATACGTAATAAATAATATTGTTATCAAACATTAAAAAAAATAAATTATTATCCAAATAAAGTTAAATGTTTTATATTAATTATTATTACAACTTACGATTACCTCATATAAATAATAATATCATTTAAAACTCTTAATAATTAGAAATGTGATTTAAAACGTATATAAATTAGTGTTTCAATTTTCTCATCATCATCAATCATCATCACGTATATTTCTTCCAGTGGAAGTCAGTTCAAAGAAATTCTAATTATTCGTAATACAATTAAACCAGCGACAGAGCAGTCCAAACTGTAAAAAGTCGTAAGTATATATGTATATATATACCATTATACCTACACAAGTAAAATTGTTACAGCCGTGTAGTCGGACCCTCACGAACCCGAACCTTGTATTTCCTATTACTCGCACAAACTCAATTACGGATTTTAAACGCATTACAAATGCTAATTGGATTCCACCCGCGTAGAGTTCAACAATTTAAACATTTTTAAAAATAAAAAAATAAACAGCTATAGTTGACCAAAGCTGCAGTTGCTACGTATAATTTAATTTCGTCGATATAATCGCCGGAGTGACCTACATATTATTATTTTTATATATACGATACGTCGATATACTGTTGCAAAAAGCGAATAATGGTGTGGTACAGTGCCCTTACGACGGACGAGGCATATTGTATTATATTTGTAAGCCAATATCTATTAAAATCGTGGAAATATATATCGGCGATTTCACGTTAAATTCCCATTCCGACATAATAGCATTATACATATTATATACGTGGGTTGCAGTATACCTTATATGTACAATATAATATACGATATATAATACTAATACTGATGATAATATATATAAATATAAATTCACCGCAACAACCGTCTAAACCGCGACTCGTGGCCGTCTGTTGGTAAAATCTCCATTATCTTTTTAAATCACCCCTGCACTGTACCCGATTCAACTGTGCAGCATTGTACTTATAAACTATATAGCTGCCATATAAATTTAACAGCAGATTATAAACCGACCACCGAAACAGATGCAGTTTAAATACACGACGGTTCCACCGAGACATAAAATATCCATGGCAGAGCCTATACACACGCGGATACACTCGGATTTTGACCGTGGTGGCTTAAGCAAACCGCAGTCGTTCATCAACAACGATTTAATTGCAAAAAATAATTCCCCCGAGGTCGTAAATATTTCATAAGGAAGGCCCAGCTGCTGTATAATCTTGGACGTTTACTAGAAATACTCTAATATCTTTATTGTCTCTCTCTCTCTCTTTCTATCTCTGTCTCGTTGCGAACCGCCTCGTAATCTACACTTATCTGAATAAATTAGATCAAAAATTCCGAACAGCTGGTCGCGATGAGTTGTAATCTTTTGTGCACAGTGCGATACATCGGTTATTTACGTATCTGAAAATGAAAAGCGAGAAAAACTAATTTGCATTTGTCCGCAGCCATCGAATATCGCGGAAATATAATATTTCGAACTTGCAGAACTGTATTTTGTAGACAGGTATATAATTAGAGATCGAAAATATGGAAATCGAGATACATTCCGCAACTTGATACTTTCAATAAGTTTTATCGTAACTAGTACATTGTAGGACCTTTTTTTTTCCATATATAACCACTACATGAGGGCCGTACTGTTTGCACATTGCTTGGCCCTAATGCAGCATCGTTTATTTAAGAAAATATTTGCATCTTTAAGATTGGGCTAGCACGGGGATTGATACACTTTCCTCAGTGAGTGCTGGTGTGTATGTGTGTACCAAGACCCCATAATGCCTCATAACGGTATATACAAGTGGCCGAAGCACATTGTAGGACCTACCGAAAGTGAAAACGCGACCATATCACACGCATCAACAACTATATTATTATATTTACTTTGAGTAATGTCCATTTCTTGTACTATGTAAAACCCTTATTTTCGCACACACGCGCCATACTATATTACCTATAATTTGCAATACATTTATTAAACGGAGTCAAAATATGTCCAAAACGAATCCTTTCTAATGACTAAATATATTATACATTCATGCACACACGTAGGTAATAATGTAGACTACCGAATCCTTTCCGTTATATACAGTGAAAAGGAAATTATACGTATATTAACTAAACCCCGCTGTGAAAAGCTCCCAGCCACAGTTTCATTATATTATTATATACAACACAAGTTGTTGTGCGAACTTCTCGACACACACAAAAAAAAGAAGCTATTAATTTATTAAAAACTCTGTTCTCGCATTCGCGTATTTGTCCGTTGTATGGGGAAACTTTCTACAGTTATTATTCTCTTTCATCCGAGTAAACTATATAGCAAAATAATTAGGTTCTATCCGGATGATCAATTAGCATGTAAAGTTTAACATTGCGGCGAACATCTGTACAAGTTACTTCGAAACACATCTCCTGAAGTCTCCACCACTACACTATATGGTTTATACTTATCTTTCTCTGAAATCCTAATTTTATTATGTAAATATGTCTCGTCCTTATATTATCACTAATCTTTAAAACAACTACGGAAGTCACGTTAGTCATATAGTTAGTTTTTCGTCTGTTTATTATGTTAAACAAATTCGTCTCATATATACCGGAGAGAATCTTTCATCTAGCTAGGTTCCGATCATCTGCGCTAAGAGTTCACGAGCTCCGAAGTACCTATAAAAGTGCATAAGCTGCAGTAAACTCCATATAAGTAAACGGTTTTTATAGTATTATAATACATTGAATGTCATAGATAAGTAAAAATATTAGTTTTATTCAAAATGTTTATTAAATCGATCGACACTATCCCGTCTCGTTAGGTACGTTTTAATTAAAAATCAATAAAAACCGAGTTGTCCTATTTACAGAGAGTTTTAACATACGTTAACCTATTATATGTTATCAATCGATACTCGCCATTCGGTGCATACTATATAATTTATACACAAGTGTTGTAAAAAATATTCAGACTTACACAATTTTACCAAGTAGTAAAAACTATTATAATTTTGTATAACCTACTTACAAAACATAATATTTGATCGAATTCTAGAGATTTATCAACGAAAATAAGTGCAAGACTGTACACTATCATTATACACAATATAATAACCACCATATAACTACACGTAAAATGTCTTTTAAAAATTTCAATTGACGATGGTTATCTTTTTTTATTTATATACCTATAAACTCAAACGGCGTATTTGAATAATTCGAATAAAATAAATGTTTATTTTAATATGTTATTTATCGATATTCGTATTTTTAGTAAAAATAAATTATGACCAAAGGACCATAATATATTGTATAGCTGAATATACCTATATACTACTACCTATTAATTTGCCACATAATGCACACATAATGTGGTACGAGGACAGACAATCACGCATATATCTGTTTTCAGCGAATTTACAGAACAAAACTCCATAGAAAGTTTCGAAATAATTGAAAATACTGGTTTAGGTACGTTTGAATTTCCTTAGTCGAGCCGACATTAGTGAAAAAATAAATAAATTAGAAACTCCCAGCAGACTAGGTTTGATCCTACGATTCGTACGAGTATACGAGTGTCATTGCTAATGAAACAAGCACAAACTGAGTGTAATATATAATTCAGTCAAAAGCCGTACGTAATGAAGCAGCTAAATTAGCCTGTATAAAATAGTGTACAAAATAAATGGAATGGCAACCGAGAAACTATTCGTGCTCTGTATAAACTATACAGCTCACTACAATATATTATGCTCTACGACCGAAAAAATGTCGTGATCTCGTGTATTAGGTACATACTCGGAATTCTCAAATCCTGTGATCTAAAAAATAAAACAATTAATTCTTTTTTCGGCCCATTGCTTGTACGTCATTTACTACCTAATTAGTTGGTGCATTTATTGTTATAATTTTATTAATTATGAAAATGTATTTTATTATTATTATCATTACTATAGATCCGCTTCACATCATGAGAATGAATATTACAATATTGAAAACAATTTTTAAACTTGGAATAAAGTATAACTCATTTTAGCAATTTTTATTTACGAATTTTCTTTTAGGTGTACGCTGATAGACTGCGAAACCCCGTGGTTTAGAGCGAATACTAAATTACCAAGAATAACGAAATGGCATTCTTGTGGTCGTTATATGATAACTCGAAAGTTTTTTTTTTTTTATCTTATAGCAAAATATAATATGCAAACAGTTTCAGTGAAATTGATCTTTCGAAAATAATTTTAGAACTAATAGTTAAAATATTGATAACCATCTTGTACTTTATGAATTATTTGTACACATTGTTATGAAATAATTGTTATTATATAATCGTCAATTGTGTAGTTTTGTTGGATTTAAAAAAAAAAATTATTGGATTTGCATGTCTATTATTATTGTAATTAGGTACGTAAAATCTTTAGATGCCATGTACGATTTAAAGGAAAATTATATAATGTATTTTTATATTGATTGAAAATATGATTGTTAAATATTATAAGTATTTTTTTTCCCGTTTGATTGGTTACAATATCATGACACAGCTATAAATATGTATTATGTATGTATACTGTTTGAATTGCGATATTTTGGCAGAATTCGTACATCAATAAACGATGGCAGCAGAGGAGTAGTATTGTTCACACAGACCCTCCTCTACTGTCAGTTATACAGGAAAAAACTATAAATATGTATTTTCTTACATAATTTAAATATTTTGAAAGTAAGCCCACGCATGTCCGTCTAAGTTCACGGTTTTCAACAATACACATCATATTATATTATTCCATTTATTTAAAACCGTTTCATACAATACTTTTTATGTTGATAATATTTTTATCATATTTTTATGGATAAAGAATATTATCGTTCATAGCTAACTATATAAGGATATTCTATTTCTATATACGTATACCTACTCAATATGTTTGCCGTTTGCGTATTTAATATATATATATATATATATATACATATATATTATTTAGTTTAATTAAAAGGAAGACCAACTAAAAAAACTCACTGTTATTATTATTATTATTATTATTATTATTATTAAACAATGTATATTTAGATTCTTATCGAAGATGACAATGTTAAATCTAATGATATTATAATGTTTGAATTTTTTTTTGGCTCTGCGTATAGTCTACGCAAACAACTTTAGTATAGTACTTGAGCATTATCTAATTTCAGAGTAACTTTGTCAGATACCGTGGTTGATATTCTATAGTGTATACTTTATTTGAACACTTTTTTGATATAATCAAAATATTAGCGAACTTTTAGTCCAAAACATTTACGTTATTTTTTCCACAATATATTACAGGCAATCCCATTGAGCATGTAATTTAAGGCAAAGAGCTTAAACTTTAACAGTACCCAAATGAAAGCACCTTAATATTGAAGATATTTACCTTGAGGTAATAAGAATTGAAATATATTGTAGTCGAAGAGTTATTTTTCAAAATTAACAAATTTATGTAGCCCATGTACGTAGGTATGTACAAGTTGTACAACTAACTTTTTATATAAAATATATATTTTTAAAAACTCACTTCGAAGACTGTGCCTGTTTAGCAGCCTTGTTTAAAGACTCGAGTTTAGCTTTTGTTCTTTCTAGTTCGACTTTTGTGGTTTCCAGTTCCGTCTGCAAGGCCAACTTCTCTCGATCATCGCTAACGGTCTGCAATTGCAAAGCAGTCTGTGGTCCACACTTACGACAACAGGTCAACGTATTCATCGATTTCTCGGTTGACCATTCCCAATTCGGTGTCGCTGAACCAAAAACAAAATATCCATATAATATTATGTAGTTATATATTGTATAAAAATAAAAGTAACAATAAATAAATATGAGCTAGTTCAGTTTGATTGCGCCGCTATAAAAACAAAACCAAATTGCTCGCCCAAATTACTTCCCGTGTCCCAATTTTATTTAATTCGAATTCGACTACCTATACAATACATCCTAGGCACCTATATATATATATTAACACAAAATTATTATTACTAACATCCGTGAAACCTAAAATCGATCCAGTCAAATTAAATGGACTATGTATACACGTAATTTGAGTGTGATTAAAATATCGATTTTCGTCGACAGTGGTCGTCTGGAGCTGTGCAGGTTTTACAGTCGCTAATAAACCTGCGACTGTGGGTCATTTTCCACGCTCATAATACACGATATATCTATACGTGAATATCGAATGTTACATTATATAGTCAGTAATAATAATACACCATGCAAGTTAATGATATACCTACTGCGCCCACACGTTTTCACAATTAATACGCAAAAGACTGATGATACTACGCGCTTTGTACGAGAGACGTACATTGTATATTATGATCAATGATAATAATTATAATGGCGATAATAATTATATATTATTGTTACCTGTCGTAGACGACTCTCCGCCGTCCGGGGGACTCGCCGAACTCGATCCAGTGCTCATTACTAATCTAGTCCGAGTGCTGTGGTTGCTGCTTGACCGCACTATAAAAATAAATAAATAAATTTAAAACACATTGTCGTGGACCGTTAGAAATAAAATAATTATGCGAATATAAATTGTACACACATATTGTACACGTCAAGTGCGTGTATAGCCTAAATACACAAATTATTATAAACGATGTGCATAAACTATAATAAGTATACACATTAAATTATAATACAATACGTTATACGAATAATATATAAACAATAAACACATATTATAACTTGTACACAACAATAGGTAATGCTCATATTTGAAATACACAGCACCGTTGAACTTTTAGTAAATCGTTTTGGAATGATTTGCTCAGTGCAAATAAATGTTTTGGTTTGAAATTGAATCCTTCGAGTATATATTTTTGATATAATGTGACACTCTTAACACAACTATTAACTATATAGTATTTGTTTTTTATAATGTTATACAACTAAACGATTCTGAGGAGACGAACAATTTTATACTTCGGTGTTTTGCGAGTTCCTGCTGTAGGTAGCAGTATTAATTATCTGAGATGATGTTAAAGTTTTTCCGAAGGGAACGTCAATTATGACACATTTTTCTTTAATAAATAAAATAATTTAACTATAGATGCGTGTAATCTAAAAACCGGGGTAGCATGCAATTACCTATTAGTTTCGTATACTACAAAAAAAATTTCGCTATTTTTTACTACCAATACAGTATACTTATATTATATTGATTATAAGTTCTACGATGAATTTAGCGATTCCGACATTTTGGTCATTGGCATTGTTGGCACTTATCATTGCGCAATTTGATCAAAGTTAATTTCTTTGTCACCGATGGAAATGACTTCGATACCGTATACAGATATTATACCCATCAGAAATATTGAATTGCGGAACGTTTGATTAGGATTTCGTAGGAAACGACAAAATATTGTAGAAAATCGAAATTTAAACTTGTCATCGAGTAATGACGATTCCTTCCGTCGTGTGGTCGGAAATGGTGCTACAACAGCAGTCTTATGTGTGCACTGTGCACTGACGAATAGTCACGGTAAATCTCAAAAATCAATAAATTATAACGCAAATTTCAGAAAGAAAAATTACTCAATACCTGCAATAAGAAAAGTAATAGAGATATCAATCCCACACACATTACCATGCATGTTATATGTACATTATACTCGTGCTAGACGTACCTACTATAAATAATACTATACAAATAACAAATGCATAGAACAAGTACATATTTATAAATAGGGTGATTCGCCAAGCACGGTCATCCACATTTATGTAATTTCTTTGGAATTTTAAAGTATACTTAAATAACATATTTTCAAGTAGGTACTTAAGATTTTTCATGTCATTTAAGAATTGTCCTGTGTCAGTTAAAATTTCTTTTTTTAATGGCAACAATTCTTTTTTGCTGTAATTATTTTTTTTATGTTGATGTTAGGTACATCAACTCAAAATACGAACTATAGTATAGGTACCTAATGACTTATAAATGCATGAGTTATTTAACTGTATGTAGGTACTAAGACACAAGGGACTAAGGAGTAAGTATAATTATAGACTATAGTCCATATATCATTATAATATGATATAGGTATTAAAGATATTGGGACAAAGATAATTTAAAAATTTTAGCAATTAATATTAGTATAATATTGGAATTTTATGTTTTAAAATAAAATATTTGTAAGTATAATAAGTAGGTATACTCATGTATCATAGACATATAGGTACAACAACTAGATAGCCGTCTTTAAACTACAGTTGTTGTGACCAATGTTGAAGTCAGTCGCCATTTATAAAGCCATTTATATTTATTATACATTTATTCATATACATATACATTTATTCATATGCATATACTGTGATATTATTATTTTTGTAAATGGCGGCCAACTTCGATGATAAGGAGACGGCTATCTAGTTGTTGTATATATCTATGGGTATACTAGACTGAATATTGCTTCCATTTTATATTTGATGTAAAACCATTATCAAAGATTATTACCATTAGTAATTAATGGTTACATAGAGTTTATAATAGCTTAGAAATTAATCGTTACAAACTCGATTTGAATTAATCAACATTTTCCAAAATAAATCTAAGAACCGTATGGTTTTTACTTTTTAGTATACCTACTCAAAAATTCTGAATACCAGAATTTGAATAAATTTATTATCTTAGGCTAAAAGTTGTAAGCCGTCAGTATAAGCATACTTGGTGAATCATCCTAACTGTGTAATATGGACAGGGGACCCGCGAAGGTACTTCACCACAGTCTAAATAGATAATACAATAAACTCGTAGTCACGTCGAAAATTCGAAAAACGGACGGTTTCAATAAGTGCACCCATATTATATAGATAAGTATATAAGTCTATAAAATATAAATGTACCACTCATCCCAGGAAATATTTGTCGTATGCGCATCACAGTAAATTTCTGTTACGTTCTGCGTGCCAGTATTGAACTCTTTTGAACAGGTGTCTTTCGAAAACAAAAACTTATAAAGATATACCTAACACACAAACACATACGGCAGAAACTAAAATTTGATAACTGCACACAGATACTTCAACAACTGCAGAACTGCAGCTAACCTAAGCCATATTATGATATCGTCACTATATACTTATTATCGCGGTATACCAACCTATATTGCAAATTACAATACCTAATATACCAATAATTATCAATCATAGTTTTAGCCCATTCAACTAATTGCAAACCGCCTATGGCCGATGCCTATACGTAATCAGCTCAGGAGCGTGCTCACAGTCCACGGGGGTGTTGGGTGTTTCATTTCCCCTCTTTGGCTTTTTTGTCTATTGACTTCTTATGATTTTCTGTTAAAATTAAAATTCAAGTTATCGATATATTTTTCTGTGTGATTTTTAATATTTCATAAAAGTTAAGTCGATCGATAACAATGCAATTCGTGATAAAATAATAAAAGCATATATTACTACCGTCACGGGGTGAATGACGTGAATATGTTACTAATACAATATAAGTTATTGGTAATGATGCATATTATATACCTACCAATTATACAACTTCTCCTCACTCGCGAGTTCGACTAATGATAGCATTACGATTAACTAGCACCCGCACCTGGTAAATTGAAGGGAAACAACATTTTTTTGTTTTTTTTTGATTTAACGTGGTCTGAAATTAGCCAACAGTCCCCACCCACCACGTTTTAAAAAATATGAGCACGCCACTAGACTAGATCCACCGCACGTCATCGTCAGCGTACATAATATAGTCGTTTCACCTCAATAACGTTATAATGTAGGTATTATCAAGAACCAGAGCTCAAACTTTATCGACGCATACCTTATACCTATACAATACGTTATACACGCGAGTTATATACATAATATATATATACACACATATATATATATATATATATACATATATAGTATATACGAGCACACACATCAGATCGGCAGTTCACACACGTACGGACGGAATAACACACTCGCGTTATATATATTTATATATTCTCTCGTATTATATACCAATTATATTATCCCTAGGCACGTGATTATATACACGCCATATATACGTATGATACGTATTATTGTATACATGATATTATTATATTATAATCTACGAGCGATTCTCTCGCGGGCGAGCAAGATGGACCGAATAAGTAGGCAGACACAGTATATATAATGGCGACTCCAATACTAGCCTCGGACCCGCTTTCTCCGCGGGTCTCACAAGTCACAGATGATATAAATATAAGAGATGGCTGCACCCGTCTATGACATGTATATAGAGGTAGCTAGGTATCGGCTATAGGTATATACATCTACAAATAGGTAGGTACCTACAAGCCCGCGAACACGTGTATATATGGCATTTATCCGACGCCCACTGAAACCGACGTGTGTGTGCTTGTATATAATATAGTACATCATAATATGAGACGTACCTCTATGTACCTGTAGGTCGAGGTACCATTATTGTATTACACCTGTCTCGAGTACAATATCCGTATATTATAATTTGGCGGCACCGTTGCGTTGAAAAGGAATCATAATAATAATACCTACATAAACGCGAAAGTCACGGGGCTTGATTGTGCGTCAGATTATTATAAATATCATATTATTAATATAATGCGCTTCCGCTGGTTACTGCAGTCGTGGTCGTTTCGCGTTATAATAATGATACGGTATGGTCGTTGTCGCCGAGATGCAATATATATCGTATTATAATAATATGTGTGTATACGTCACATATGGCGTCGCGAAGGGGTCATGGGCGAAATGGGTTGCATATATGGAATACGCATCACAACACACCGCAAGACTGTGTGCATATTATACCTATCAGCTGGTGTGTATAGTGTGTGAAAACGATATTATTGTGTCGAATGTCGGGTGTAATATTATAACTTCACACCAACGACCGATTTTGAGAACGGAACGCTTATTTATTTGATTAGATTTGAATTTCACGACACGTGTTTTTTTTTTTCTGTTCGTGATTTGTTTTACGCATCGATGGCGACAGGTATAATGTATGTACGTCGTGCAGGTAAAATAATAAAACGTATAATGTTTGTGTATATAATTATTGTAGCCTCATCCTAACAGTAGATAGGTACGTAATAGGCACACGACGATGTCATAGTATCGTTTTCAAGGGAGGCAAATATGGCAATTTATTACCCACCACCCCATACCTTGTACCATTTTAAAATCTTCTTAGTTCATTTTTCTGTAAACGAACTGTTTCTGATTACATTAATGTTATTATTTACATTTATATAGGTATAGCTTTTCATCCATAACCTTCAGAGCATATATTTTCGTAAAAGGTAATGATGAAAGGTAAAGACTAAAAGGTGTAGTATATTATGTTCATACATACGTTGTAATATTGTTTCGAATATATTATAAGTACCTACCTACACTGCCACTCTGCCTAAACACAGTTACATATTATAAATGTAATGAGTTCGTTAATTTGATTAAAATTTAAAATACAACAATAATTTACATAAACTATTGTATGAAAAAATATTTTTAATCTTTTTTTTCCGTCCATGTGAGTATGCGTTTTGAAAATTAATCAACTCTCAACAAATATTTGAAACGCATTTTTAGGGTTTGAAAGTCAATGACGTTAAAATCGAAAGACCGTTTTAATTAAAAATATTTGTTTTTGGTAGGTATTTAATAATTTTCCAAATATATATATTTTTTCGGTAATGAAGTATTTAGTAATTGAAATATTCCTTTTAATTAAGTTTGAATTGTTGAAACTGCAATCAATTTTTTAAGTAAATAAAATTATACAAATTGACTCAATGTATTTTTTTCATACATACCTACCAAAATTATTATGTGAATGGTGAATCAAACAAACATTAAGTTTATATAGAACCTAGGTACTTATTAAAATTATTTAATTTTATAATTTAATAAAAAAAAAACAGAAAAATATATTAAGCTATGATTTATTCACTGTGCTTTTTGTGCAATAAGTGACAAAAGTTAAAATTAAAATTAATATTTTTATTATAGTATTCATATTGAAGTGATATTTTATTTTTTATTTTTTAAATTATTGTTAAATGTATATTATAGTTACCTGATCGTGAAATGAAATTGTGTCTGGCTCTCTTGGTGACATACGGCGAATTTCCCGACATCATTATGGCACTGTCCGAGTCCGAATGGTAGCCAGATATGTCGCTGGAATCTTCGTCCTCCGCGACTTCCTTCATAAATTCCAAAACCTTTAAAACGAAAATCATAAATTAGTAATCAGTAATTAGCATAGTATTTACTTCGTGACCATCGCGCCCGTAAGTATGATCCTCGTTCGTACTCAAAATACACGAGAGATCTCAGATCATCTATATCATTAGAAAGTAACGTTTTTAGGGTTCGCGCACGCATACGAACTATGGATTATTGAGCAGAATTCAAATCCACTTGTCAGCACTGCAGGACGATTCACATCTCGATTTATTTGTTTTGTGAATCGAATCAATACCATACTTTCTCTCCCATCGTCTACATTTCGACGATAATTATGTGCGGGAAATAAATATTTTATACATACGTGTACCACCTACTTATGTTTACGTTACTGATAACAGTGGAATTCGATCCAATTATAACCGACCGCAAAGGTTGAAGGTCGTTAGTGAAAATTCAACCAACCCTCGAAGAACGAACGCTATAACTAGATAATAATAATAATAATTGCCATCGTGAGTGTAATAACATCCTGAATTGCGTTCCTAGTGTACACATCATAAACCCACAACAACGACTTATACAAATACATGTACATAATACGATGCTCCGGTGTATAATAAAACGGCCAACATTCACCAGCGCTCGTGCAAAAAGTAGGCGCACAGGCGGCACAGGTGCCCAGGGCTCGACGCTCGAATTTCGGTCGTTAAAAAAATAAAAACCGCATAATTTCTACCCAGCAGAAATTCAAACGTTTTACACAAACACTAGGTACCTAAACGGTAATGATACCTGCTATATTAGAATGGAAGGTAGATTGGTTGCCAGGTATGGAGTGTACTTAGACGCAGGGGCGGACTGGCTATGGTGCAGGAGGGTGGGTAATCCGAGCCTGGGTCTGTCGAAAAGTTGGGCCGATAACTTATGAATATTTTATTATATTAGTCCAAAATTGGGCCGAATCGTCTGTTTCTCGGGGACCAATTTTTATTCCCAGTCCACCCCTGCAGGGTAGATTTCCGTAGCCATTTTCCTCCAAAAATTAGATTCAGTTTTTATCTCTGTTTTCATCATTTTCCTCCATTAATAAGATAAAAAATTAACCCTCTAGTTAATTATTTGAATAGGTACAAGGCACCTATCGTTTTCTGGCCTAGAATATTGTTCTTTGTATTTTTATGTATAGGAATGAACATCAAAATAAATATGAAATAAATTAAAATTAATAACCATCGTAATAAAAGACAAGAAAATACTAATTATTTTATAAGAATTTCAAATTTTTAATTATTACTATTTTATATAATATAAAAATGATCGTAAATTAAGAGTGTTACTCATGTATAAAATAGAATACAAATAAAATAAATAATTTAATATTTAAAAAACTAATGTAGGTACGACTTTAATATTACGAGGAAAGTAGACGTACACGATTCTAGTTAAAAAAAAAAGCAAATCTGTGGAGAAAAACGTTTTCTCATTTTTGGAGGTAAATGATGCCACCCAGGAGGAAAGTGTATAACGTTAAATAATATTCTATTTCATCAGAAATGTTTTCCATGTGGCAAAAAAGTAATCTTATTCTTCTATGTGTGTATTTTAAGCCCATTTTATCGCCGTATACAAATCCATTCATCACGTCCTCTTAACTCGGAGAGCGTCGTAACGGTGATCGTTTGTCGTCTAATGTCACAAACCGCTCGTTGTATTTTGTTTTTTCTTATCGAAAGCGGGTGAAATGCAGACGCAAAAAAAAACCATACAGAAGCATATTACTCTCTGCGAGTTCATTTAGTCAAAATTTCTTTGCCAAATATCATTGGGTTAATCGTGATCAGAGTCATATTTAATTTATACCCCTGGGAGAAATAACATATTATCTACTTCGGTGTTAGGTACCTACTGCACATGTTCGAAAAATACCGGTTAGAAAGGCCATAATATATACGTTGTATATTTATGATGCAAAACAACTACTCATCGTTAACTCGTTTGAGATCACAACAGTACTACAATGCAGTGTGTCAGTAGACTAATATATTCGATACCCCGGGGTGTTTCGAGTTAACCTTGAGTTCCGAAAACATATATATATATATATACAATTACCTGGACAACAGTTTTCAAATACTTAATAAATCTACATATATTACGAATGACTTGATAATTTTAAATTACATATTATGGCAAGTAACTGGATCTGAACACGTTAAAAAGAATTATAGAAACCGTTAATCGCAAACGTTTTCTAATCGCTTTGTAAAAATATATTATGAGACTATATGCATCGAACACTGAAATATAAAACAAAACGTTTGGTCACGATAAAAATAACAAATTTTCATTTTCATATAAACTTATAAAAGTGCTCTCGAAAAAACGCAGTCAAAAGCTCTAAAATTAATTTTGTTTATAGATAGACCATTAGCTTCTTTGTATACGTTAAATTGATTTCAAAATTTAATAGCTACTATATCAAAGACTTTGTATTAAATAATTTTTCTAATAAATAATGATACCGTTTATTATTCTATGTTTTTCTTCAAAGAATATAACTATATAAGTTTAAGTGTATGTTTGTGTGCCATCTGGATTTGTTTTATTGAAGTATCTATATACTATACATATTAACATAAATTATGTTACATAATATAATAATAGTTATAACTTTATAAGTGAAAACATTATATTGTAACAATATATCATGAGCCTTGTATTACAATTTTACACTTTTTTGCCCAACAAATAAAACTTTATTGATATTTATAGAAAAAAAAAACTAAAAAAATTGAAAACTGAAAATGTCTGGAAACAGCTCAAAAAGAGTCAAAATAATAAGAGTCATAATAATTGTATGGTGTATAGGAAATGCTAATATAAACACATTCGGTGAAATTTTCATGTATCTATAGTTATTCGTTTTTGAATTACAACAAAATAAGGAAATCGCTACATGAGAAATCGAGTGAATATCCAATGTTGTAAAAATTTGAATTTCAAAAGCTCATAAAAATTTAATTAGACTTTCTTATGGACATTTTTTTTTTTGATAAAGGTAGATAATCTTATAAGGAACCTTGTATTCCATTTTAAAATCTTAGATTTAAAAAGAAAATGTTTACGAATTCTTAATTCAAAATAATTTGATAATTTTCATGATTTTTCCATATTTTGTCATTTTTTGAACTTTAAATGCTTATAAAAAAAAATTGTGACTAAAGATTTTTAATATTTTTCATCCGTCTTTGAAACAATATATACTAGAAGCCTTCTATTATAAATAAATATATTTTGTGATTAAATTGTGTCTACAAATAATAAAATTTATAATAATACTTTGTAAGTTGAAAATATATCGAAAAAAGTATTTCGAAAAAATGTCATAAAAGTAGAAAAAAAGGTTGTCAAATTTATATTTATATATACTTTTAAAAAAATACAGAGTTCTTGTATGACTTATTATTATCTTATTTGAAGATGTTTTGAAATTTATTATTTCACATCCAAACTATAATTACTTCCGCTTTGTCACAGAATTCCTATAATTATATCCTATAGGAGTTTTATATAGTTATAGTTAATACATTGTTATATAATAAGGATTAAAAAAAACAAAAGATGGTAACAAATTACAAATGTATTACCTTTCTTAATTTTTTATTATGATATTTTTTGCTGTACTTATATAATTATATATACCTATATATACTTTCTCGTGGGAAATTAAAAGTGTAATAACCGATTTATGTGTTTTAAATATAAAATACATTCATCGCTCCACTCAGATCCTAAAAGTCGGATATAAATGTTATCTTATAGTTATATTATATTATATAATCTTATTGAAATGAATAATACTTTTTTACAGAACACGGAAAAATAAAAACAAATTTATATGTTATTGTTTTAGAGTTTTAGAACATGTGAATCGGAAATTAACAAATATTTCCCATAAATAAATTTAATTTTTTTAATTTTTACAGGTACATCAACTATATTATTTGGTACAATTTGTGTAATACTTTAAAATATTATACTTTAATATGTGTATAAAAGAAATTTATGACTATAATACTACAACGTTTGATTACTATAAAAAATTATAAAATATATTTTATTCGTGATTAAGTAATTCCATATATTATTTTTATAGCGTTAGCGTTTGTCATTTTTGTATCACTATAATATATAGCACACATATCATGTTGTGCAATGACTAATGACTTTGGATTATTTTTTTCGACAAAAAAAATATAATCAATGTGTTTTTTGGAAGTATTTTCTGGTATTGACGTATAATATCATTTATCCAATACTTTAATTTAGCCACGTGATTGTTATTAATATTTATTATATTTTATATCAATACTATTAAATATAATATAAGTAGGTTTATTCGATCGGAAATAGACCTATAGATTGTATTATATTATAGAAGACATAACAATCTCATATATTATTAAACATTTGAAATCATTTGAAAAATTATTGTTGTATTCAAGCCTATCGAAATAACCGTTCGGGGAAATTTCAAAAAGAACACCGGTCTTTTCTGTGTTGAAAATCACCATTCATTGCTTTTATAATTGTATCGTTTTCCTAAATTGGAGTAATGTTGTTGTTGTATAATCTACAGACTTATTCGTGTAGCGACCAATTTCGGTTTTATTGGAAAAATATCCAGTCCAGTAAGATTATTATATTTTATCGCGTGAAGACGGAACACAATAACTGCGTACACGGTGAGTATAGGTACCTAGCAAACAGTACATTATGCACATCATTGCACAGTCAGCTTAACTTCTAACAATTAAGACCGCCGTCTGAAGCATTCGTCGGTGGTCGCCTATTGTGATGCTAATAAGTAATAACCAGCCAGTCGTGCTTCTATAAACATTACAATGCTTCGTCAAAGTCGGTGTCGCTCCCACGCAATCGCTTTTCGTGCGTACACACATGTCACATGCACATCGAGTGATATACGTGGTAAGTGGTAAATGCATACTGTAGGCATACTATATAATATTACCTAGCTGCAAAGACCTAAACTTGGGCAGGGAATGAATGATCGATTATAAAATAGAACGCTCGGTGTACTTCGGTTTAAATGTGCAATGACTCCGACCAAGTCGGATTATATAGGTACACCCTCTGCAGAGCATGCTCGCGAAAATTATCAACAAATATTGTTAACGCAGTCCGGGGCCCGATGAATCTACCTATAATCTATTCGATATAATTTGTACATTGAAAATGGAGCAAATGGCTGCATCATTTTCCGGAGAGTGTGGTAAAAAGTTATGAGTTCGTTTCGTATCATTCTGATTGTAATGAAGTAAACTTTATTCTGCTTCTTCCCTTCAATGTACATTTTTGATAATTTATGATTAATTTTCACGAAAATGTCATATATTTAATATATATCTAATTGTATATTAGCCAGCACATACCTAACCAGAAATATGTTAAATGTTCGTTTTCGTCTTCGAAATTATTTTGTTTGTAATATTGTAATAATTAATTGATGGCTGATAAAAATATACACCATACAGTATACAGCTGCTGGTTATTGTAATTTTATTGTAGTGACCGTTTTGACTTTTGAAAAGGGAAACAATAATTTAATTTTTGTAGTTTTTAAGCTTAAGCTAAATATACGCTTTTAATTGCAATTATAAACGTTCTTTTAACGATCTATTTTCCTACAAAATCCTAGCCCTGTGTGACGTTAATGTACTTAATAATATGTACCGCACGACTTGCGTATAGTAAACACGAAAACCTGCCCCGATGTAAAACACACAGAAGGACTCGTACATAGGAGCTATAAGTGTATTAAATTGAAATAATTATACGGTGTCCTTGGATTTGAGTTACTCTATATACGTAGATATAATATTATATTTGTGTGTAGGTAGGTGTAGTACGCGGTGGTTCGCGTGTTCATATTATATTATTATATACTTGCTGCAGGTTTTACAGTTAGATAACATAGGTATATAATATTATACGGTATGTATACAATTTACGAAAAAATTTTTTTATCACGGATGTCAGTTCGTTCACACAGCGCGTTAGCGTTTAAAACGCGAACATAATGGAAAAAGATGAATATGTGAGAAAAACGGATGTGAGCTCGCGCGTGTGTGTGTGCGACTGGTTCGCTCGATAATAGACAGCGCCGGTCGGAGAGCCGACTCGTCCACGGTCATTGATCTCATCACACGAGTGTTGTAGGTACACATCGCGACACATCTGCAGCAGATCTTGCGATCGCGACCACCTGACCGCCGACGATTGATATATTATTATTTTCGACTTTGCACCTGGTCGGTCGGGACTAGGCACCTTATAATATGAGATAGGTAATATTGAGATGAAACCAATGGCGTTCTCCTAGCTGCGTGAAAACCGACGACAAAATCGTTTCAAAGTCACCGTATACTTATAAGGTATTGTCCCGATCGCGATTTGGACTTACGACTCGGGGGGTGGGCAGAAAACTCAAAACATGAAGCGCTCAAAAACATATTGCCTTCCTTACCTATACTACTAATTACTAATTATACATTGTACGGCATACCGGTTAGACTGGAATGACTATACGTTATCCATCACGATCTGAGGATGTCCAAGAATTTTTCCAACAAGCGTGCGAATAACTGACTACCTATAATATAGAGCTGCACTGCACTAATTAGTGCTAAACAATTTCTCGGTGGTTCGCAAGACATCGAGCATCAAAAACGCCTTAAGTCGTACGTCTTAGCAACTCGGAAGCGGCTTGGGGGAAGCTGGATACACCAGATATTATCCAACTGGATAATAAGTCAAGAAAAATGTTTTCTTCAAATCGGCTAAGAACGAGTAGGCAGCAACTAGCAAATACAGTTCCTCAAATTTTGGAAATGCTTGGATATGTTGTACTATTTAATGAGTGTCTGTGGCGGTATAAATTTATTTTTTTCAAATTAGAATCAACCACTTTTACTATGTATTATCAAGATTATTTAACACTTATTATATAAATCTAAATAATTTAAAATTCGATCCTTAAGTGTATTTATAAATCCAATAATCAATAGAGGGGGGGGTGCATGCTTGCTGAATTATACTGGATAAATATTGATACAAATTTATATTTATTTAAGCCACTTGCAAATATACCAACTGAGTAAAAAAGTGTAAGAAATATTTCTACAAAATTATAGAAGACAATACCCCCCCCCCCCCCCAGAAAAAAATTAGCCCTAGTTTCGCCAATGCGTCTTAGTTTAAGTGACTTGGGCTAAAGAAAGAGACTATAACTAATAACTATTTGGAGTCTTTGGACTATTCAAAACATAATCATGTATACACGTATATTATCATGCATTATGTATTATTAATGTATTAACTCATCAGCTATTGATCGTTATAATCGATTGTTATTGTTATAACAAAGATGCCTTAGGCCTTAGGTTAATTAAAACAATTAAACTTATATATATAGCTATATAAAATTAAATCCACACGCAAAAACAGTGTACATAACACTGCACGACCATAAACAGTGAATTTTAAAAGTATCGTACCACCCTAGTTATCTCTGTGGCAAATCGATTTATATATAAATGAGTTTTATTCTAAAATATGTAGGTAGGTAATCGAAAAAAAATGTATGCCATTAAATTTGAATTTTTATGGATTACTATTAAAAAAACTGCATTTAAACATATAGGTAATCATGTATCACGGTCTCACAAAGGCACATAACAGTATATCACCTTAGGGTGATGCCAGACTTTTGGGATTTACTGCATGGTACACAACTGAAGTGGTAGTTAACCCGTAGCCGCTGTATGATATTAAAATATGTATAGTTCTCACCTGTTCGCAAGCGTGCGAATATCTCATGAGCAGAGGCGCCACCACGTGTTCCGATTCTACTTTGAGCTCCTTCCGGAGCTGAGTGAACTGAAACAGAGCGTCCTTGTCGTACTCAACCCGCCGCTTGAGTATGGTCAATAGTATGGCCATCGACTTGTTCTCCAGTACGGGTTCGACGACGTTCAGCAGCGTCTTGTTCTTGATGAGCCGCTCCTGGATGTCTGACTGCTGCAGGGACAGTTGCCGCTGGTGCGACGCCTGCACCGGTGCCGGGCCCTTGCTCACGCCGTCCCGCTTGCCAGACAGGCTGAGCTCTTCCAGCTTGAGCAGGGCCGCCTTGTACGTGTCAACCAGCTTCTGGAACTCCACCTTGAGCGCGTCGTGCAGGTTTGTGAGCGTCTCGTCGCTGGTGCCCACCAGCCCATGCTGTCCGAGGCCCTCGACCGCCTTGTCTAGCGACCGGCGGCGCACCTGCAGCGCCTTCCGCAGCTTGGGCTCGGACAGCACGATCACCTTGAGTAGCTTGCGCGTGCTGCCCAGCCACCGATCAGCTCCACCCGCCGCGGTGCCGGTGAACAGCTTGACGAGCCGCATGAGCACGTGGTCGGGCCGGAGCACCTTGACACCGCAGTCAGACGACAGAAATACTTTGGCGTAGAGTGCCTCCAGTATTGACAGGCTGTGCGGCATCGCCTCGACGAACAGGTCGATGGGCAGCTGGTCGAGGATCGCCTTGAAAGTGTTGTGGCTGAGCCGGTTCACAAAGTTTGCCGCCTCCCTGTACTGGGCGTTCTCGTACAGCAGCAGGATGCGCTTCACCGCGAACCTCGGGCTCACGTCCGCAATGGTCATCGAGCCCACCAGCTCCGGGAACCCGTCCACCCAGTTGGAGTTGCGCCACTGCATCTTCTGCACGTTAACCGCCTGTCGGTTCCTGTCCGGCTTGATCCGGTTTCCGAGCCCTTTGACCGGTTCCGAGCTGTACGAGTTCCACGTGGCCGACGGGTCGGACAGCGGCGGCGGCGGCAGGGTCAGCATGGTTCCGCCGCTTTTCGGGTACGCCTCGTAGTATCTGTTCATGTCGCGTCGCGCATAACACTCCGGATATCCGGAGTTCGACCGGAATACTCTGTGGCGGCGGCCGAAAACCGTATAACGTCGGGACGAGAAAAACCGCGGCGAAACGTCGGTGATGTGGAGAATCGAACTTTTTAAACACAAAAATAAATACGCACGTAACACGTTCGATGTGATAAGGGTATACACGCGCAGTACCGCGTTATCACAAGTGTGTATAATAATATATAATACGAAGGGCGGTCGCGGTTAAACGTGGTCAAACTCGGTGGTTCGTGTTGCGTGTGGTGCGACGCACTGCGGCAGCTGACGACGACGTGCTCGGCTGGTCACGCTGGCGAAACTGGTCAGGTGAGAGACTGTCCGGAGACTGGGTGTTTGAAGAGCCGGTCTCGGGTACGCGCGCCGAGCCGGTTATAATGACTCTCCTCTCGTGGGAGAAAACCATCTTCGTTTACACGACTTGTCGGGCCGCGATGATAGATCCACCGACGTGCCACCCGCCGCATATTGCTGCAGTATACCGCGACCGGGGTCCTAACCAATTTTCACGGCGTTATCGCGGTTTACCGTAAACTCGTGCATCTCAGTGCCTAAGACGCAATAACATATATTATATTATTATTGTACGTGTGCTGTGCGTGAGTGTAATTTTGCCCGTGAGTATAGGTAGGTACGTATAGTGTGGAAGTATAGTTCCAGTTTACTGGAAATCGTAGTGTACTATACCGCGGTTATCTGTAAATAACCGTGCACTATACACATCACCCCCTCCTCAACATCTTGAAGATGATTGGGTCGAGTTACTTGGTTATTACTCTTATTCTTGTAATCCCAACATATACGTATTATATGCGGATATTATCACGCATGTAATCTTTTGACAGACGCTGTAGTACACTTTTAAGTTTAAGGTAAAAGTTAAATAACACAGATTTTTAGAATTTCCCTTGGCTTATTGCAAAAATATCTAATTTTTTGTGTATTTTATTATAAAGCGTTACCATTTGATTATTGCAGTTCGTCACATTAATAATCAAATACTGTTGTTGTTGTTGTTGTTGTTGTTGTTGTTAACGGGGCAGAAAATATCTAACCTATATTATTTATGGATTTATATGGTATATTAAATTATGATATTTAAATCTTTGAAGTTCGCTGAAACATTTAAGACGTTCCAATAACTGTAAGATTTTATAATAGGTATATTAAATGGGTACTTCGAAACTTTGTTATTTTCCTTTTTTCTTTTTAATAATTAATATAATATTATTCTCGTACTTTTCAAATAATAATAAAATACAACAGTTGGGGAATTTAAACTTCACTGCAATAAACAAATTTTTCGGAAAATTAAATTATCCTTGTGTTTTATGTACACTTTTTTAAATTTTCCATCTTACATTCTTACGTCATAATATTAAATAATAATTTGAACTAACAAAACATATTTTTTTCATCTCAATGCAATTAAGCTCTTTCGTACAACTATATATCTCAAACGAAAGAATTCTTAATTTCTAGTTGGTAATTAAGGGTTGAAACTTGTTTAATTTATTATACATTGATGCCTTGAAACGAAAAAGATTCTTAATTTTAACATTACCCATTAGCCATGTTTGAAGAAGAAAATTGGGATGGTTCGTGAAACATAATGATTTCATTATTTGTAATTTGTGACGATCCGTTGGACAGTGATACATAAAATATTTAACACGTATTATCCATAAATTGGTGTTTTAATGATGCTAGCCAATTCCTTGCGTACATGCTAACCTATAACAAATTTAAATTATTAATTTTTACACATAGAAACCTGCATCTTATAAATGGCTTCTTTTGTTGTACTGCGTTTATAAACTCGCCAATGAGAAATAATAACATTAAATCGTCATAAAAATTGACGAATTGCGTGCATGAACCATTATTTTGTTTTTATTGAAAATAAAAATAAAAAATGTTTGTCGATAACTGAATGCGATTTTAAAAAAAAAAACTGATGCAATTGAGGATGATTATTATTTATTATAATATTAATATATTATATTGCTCGCATGCGTTATGATCTGAGTCCATCTCCTCCTTAAAATATAATTGCACATGCCTGCTAAATAGGTCTATGCCATCGTCTTTAGCCCTTCCAGCAATGTTCTATACCTATACCATTAGCTCGGCCACGCCACGTTAAGATTCTTTTTAACACACAAAAGAAACTACAATACAAATACTTTTAACTCCATTAAATCATTCGCACGCCTTTATTATTATTATTAATTTTTATGTTCTACATTGTGTGTAAAATAGTTCGTTCACAATTATGAAATTATTATATTCCAATTTATCAATTTTATTATATACTAATAACCTATAAGCCCATCATCGTTATCATTAAGCAGGCACGTATTTGTGGAGGGGGGTTGTACCCTGTACCCGGGGAGGTATTTTTTTAGTCCATCATTTAGGAGGCGGAAAATTTATATTCACAAAATATTTTATTGGGCATTATAATTGTATCGAAAAATAAATTAATGTAAGTATATATTATGTATATTAATTATTATTATAACTTTATCTGTTAAAAGGAATTATATTTACAGCTCAAATATATATTATATTGTTTTCATCGGTTAGTCGGAAAATAATATTAATAATTACGAAAAATGTTTAAGGTCAACAATGAACCTAGAAAGGTGTTTTGCATTGGCGCATTATTGACAACTGAATCAGAAATAACAAAAACCTACGAGTAAATCAGATTTTGAAGAAATTATCACTTTATTTTCAAATCTCCAATCTAGCCATGTAAGAGAAAGGTATAAATGTATCTAGATTCTTGATACATTTATTACTTTAGATAACTCTTGATTCTAGATTATTAATATTAACACAATTAAGATTGCATCATTGTTCTTAACTCATTGAAATAAGTTTCCAAAAAAAAAAAAAAAGCCTCATTTATGCCACAAAATTGTAGTTATACCTTACATTTTAAGAAATAAGTTTTTGGCGGAGTGGAGGGGAAATATGTTTCCCCTGGACAAAAAATGTTCAAATACGTCCCCGGCATTAAGCACTATCATGATTACTTAACAAATAAGAAAATGTTTCAGTTTTAAATACATACTTGTATACTACAATACTTTACTGCAAATAACATTATATAAATGTACCTATATGGCTATATAGATTATACGAAATATATTAGAATCATCGCTGTTATTGCATTTAAAATCATTTTTGACCTTATAAATGTATAAAGTTTTAATCAAATAGATCGTAGTATTAAAACGACTTAAGTAGATACTAAACCAAAATAAAATATACATATTATATTATTATTCTATTAAGCACAAAATATGAAATAATATTTTATGAAGTTATTTCATTAAATTAGTTTATATTATTTTAGAACAACTTTAAATGTTTTTAAAAAAGTGTCAAAAACAGACATATTAGTGAGGTTGTTATATAGTATATACTATATAATACCATTATAGTGTAGAGTTTTCATTAATTTAAAATTTAAATACTAATTTCTTACAACTATTATGTTTGCATGTAAATAAATATATATTTATTATTTTAGTATTAAAGTAAAATTATAAACTGTTTAAGTATAACACAAAATGTATTGTCTATTATTGTTGCAAATATATATTATTATTATTATTATTAAAGTTAGAAGGTAGATATTTTAAGATTTTGAGTACATAAGAACATTTAATCGATTAAAAAAAAAACTCATAAAATATAATGTACTGGTGTGCAACTATAAATGAGTTATATATTTGTATAATTATTATGTAGGTATATGGCTGTCGATTGATGTTAGTGCATTTCACTACAAAAGAAAGTTTTCAAAATGTATTTTCCAAGCATCACGTACTTGCTGTAATGCACATATTTATTGTCCCACAAAGCATTTTCTAGGTACTTACTTTGAGTTAACAGCGTATAATCTTTCGTGTTAAAGTTAATGGCAAAACATAACAGGTTGTAGACAAATAAAAAGTGTAATTTTTTCTAATATTTAATACTTTTATCCTTAGGTACCTAAAATATTTTCATCTGTATTTTTTCTATTTATAAATTACTTATTTGTTATATTATAATGTATGATTATTATTTTTTTTATTCCTATTTATATTGTATCATAATGTAAAATACTAATACGTTAATACTTTAACGATTTGAGTACTTTTATACTATCATGGTATATATTAATATATATATTATATATATGTGAATAAATATAACGGTTCTCCGTTTTCTTCTCAATCATACCCTTTGAAGCATCTGAAATATACGACATGACATTATGATTATACCTACGCCGTACTTGCCTTAATGAAAAAATGTTGATAGTAGTTATTTATTTTAAAATACTTTATTGAACAAAATTTAAAAAATGTGAAATTATCAATGTTTTTGGAATGTATAATCCATTCTCTATTATTTCATTATTCAACACGCTGCAATACCATTCAGCCATTGTTGACGATTGTATAATGAACACAAAACGTGAATATATTAAATACTTTTATATCTACAACATCATCATTGTTGAAACATAGCTCTTTGTATTAATACGAACGCATGAATATAAATAAAGGTGCGCGTTCTATAGGTATGTATGCGTATCCTAATCAAGGTTTTATTTTATATTGCGATTATTAAAGAATATTATTAATGATAACGATAATGCGGCGGCGGATTGCCAATGGTGTTCAATTTTCCACCCGAAGCGCCACAACGGTCTAATAAGTTTAAAATTTAGGAGGATCCGTTGCGTAAGACGAGTATATGTTATACCTATAATATGAGCTTAGAGTGCCACACATGTATATATATCGTCTGTAGTCTGTACGCAATAAAAGTCCAATTTAGCACACTCGTACTTATATATAGTATAATATGTTCGCAATGTGTAAGTACAAACAATCCAATTTGCGTCCGGACGGTAAAACAAACAACATATAATATAATATAACGTACATTTAATC